CACGTAAAGTTTCCAACTTTACGTGCACAAACACATGAATAAGGGAATAAAGGCTAAAAGATGCCTAAAGGAGGTAGATCTAGGGCTAATATGCAAAATAGCTCCAAAAAGGCAATAGATCTGGGCTCTACAACTCCTAAATATACAGATCTAAAGATATCTCGGCATAAGAAGGCTTCCATATCAACACAAAGCTTGAGAAAGGCACCAACTAGATCTCAAAAGGGCTTTTAAGCATAAAAAGGGAAAGAAACTAGAAGAATACCTCAAAGAGCTCTTGCTTTCCCTTGAATCTCTGCTCTACAATCCTTCTTCTTGCTCCTTTCTTCTTCTCCTTCTTCAAACCTTCACAAATGCACACAAAAATCACTTACAAACACTCAAGGACGAATTAGGGTTTTTCTCACAGCTTCTGAGGGTGAAGGAGGCGAGAATGAGGGCCATAAGGTGGCTTAAATAGTGGGCAACCCGGGGATTTAGGGTTTCTCCCAGACGGACAGACTCGCCGAGTCCGGAATATGGACTCGCCGAGTCTCCAGCTAACACGTGCTCGAAATCCCGACCCTACTCGGCGAGTCAGGCTATGAACTCGCCGAGTCCCTCTTGCAAAACTTCAAAACAAATACCAAGGAATTAACATACCGGAAACGGGTCATTACAAATCTCCCCCACTTATCTCAGACTTCGTCCTCGAAGTCTGCTACGGCTGAATCTGCAAATATCTCCGGGTAGTGCACTCTCATCTCCTCCTCAGCCTCCCACGTCCACTCAGACCCCTTCCGGTGCTGCCACTGCTCCTTCACTAACTGAATTACCTTTTTCCTCAAGGTCTTGGTCTTCCGGTCCAGAATCGCGACCGACCTCTCAATATAATTCAGGCTGCTATCAACCTGAATATCTTCTAGGGGAACGACTGCTGACTCATCCACCAAACACTTCCTCAACTGAGACACATGGAAGGTGTTGTGGATCTAACTAAGCTCCTCAGGGAGATCTAACCGATAAGCAACCCGACCCACCCGGGCCAAAACCCTGAAAGGACCAATAAATCTGGGGCCCAACTTGCCCCTCTTCCGGAACCTGATGACACCCTTCCAAGGTGAGACCTTCAGAAGGACCATATCTCCCACCTGGAACTCCAAGTCCGAACGCCTCCTGTCGGCGTAGCTCTTCTGCCGACTCTGCGCAGTCTGCAGCCTGCTACGGACCTGCTGGATCAACTCAGTCGTCTTGAGCACCACTTCTGTGCTCCCGATGACTCGCTGACCGACCTCGCCCCAACAAATCGGGGTCCTACACTTCCTCCCATACAGCATCTCAAAAGGAGGTCGATCAATGCTCGCATGATAACTGTTGTTATACGAGAATTCCGCTAACGGAAGATACGTATCCCAACTGCCCCCAAAATCTAGAACACATGCCCTAAGCATGTCCTCAAGAGTCTGAATCGTCCTCTCGCTCTGCCCGTAGTCTGGGGTGAAAAGCGGTGCTGAAATGGAGACGAGTACCCATCTCGTCGTGGAACCGCTTCCAGAATCTGGATGTGAAACGGACATCTCGGTCTGACACCACCGATACCGGCACTCCATGACGTGCCACAATCTCTCGCACATAGATATCGGCTAACTTTTCCGCCGATATACTCTCCTGGATCGGAATAAAATGGGCACTCTTCGTCAACCGATCCACTACTACCCATATCGAATCCACTCCACGTGCGGTCCTGGGGAGCTTGGTGACAAAATCCATGGTGATATCCTCCCACTTCCACACGGGAATGTCAACGGCTGCATCTTGCCGTGAGGCCTCTGGTGCTCCGCCTTGACCTTCCGGCAGGTCAAGCATCTCTCAACATACCAAGCGACGTCCCGCTTCATGCAGGGCCACCAATAATCAGGTCGAAGATCTCGATACATTTTCGTCGCCCCTGGGTGGATAGAAAATCGAGACTTATGAGCCTCGTCCATCAATACCTGCCGTACTCCACCCCAGTACGGTACCCACACCCTCCCGTGAAGCATCAGCAAACCCCGACTGTCATAATCAAACGAAGCTACTCGGCCCACTATCCTCTCACACTTCTGCCTCTCCTCCTTGAGGCCCTCCATCTGAGCCTCATTGTTCCGCTCCAACAACGGAGTGATCACTGTCATCCTCACACACAGATCTCTGATAGGGCCCGCCGACACTTTGCGGCTTAGGGCGTCGGCCACCACGTTGGCCTTCCCTGGATGATAAAGGATCTCACAATCATAATCCTTCAGCACGTCCAACCACCTCCTCTGCCTCATGTTCAGACTCGGCTGATCCATAAGATACCTCAAACTCTTGTGATCCGTGTAAATAGTACAACGGACCCCATAAAGGTAATGCCTCCAAATCTTGAGGGCAAACACAACTGCCCCCAGCTCCAAATCGTGGGTAGGATAATTAGCCTTGTGAGGCTTCAACTGTCTCGAGGCATAAGCTACCACATGGCCTCGCTGCATCAATACTGCCCCCATACCTGTGATCGAAGCATCACAATAGACTACGAAGTCCTCTACTCCCTCTGGCAAGGTAAGGATCGGAGCCTCGCACAATTTCTGTCTGAGAGTCTCGAACGCCGCCTGCTGCTCAGGCCCCCAACGAAATACCACCGACTTTTTGGTTAGTCGGGTGAGCGGCACTGCTATCTTGGAGAAGTCCTGAATAAATCTCCGATAATACCCTGCTAACCCTAGGAAGCTCCGAATCTCAGATGGAGACTTCGGGACCTCTCACTGCATCACGGCCTCTATCTTGGCCGGATCTACCAAAATACCCTTCTGGTTGACGAGATAACCAAGAAACTGCACCTCGCGCAACCAGAACTCACACTTGGAGAACTTTACAAAAAGTCTCTCCCTCCTCAAAGCCTCCAGCACCTCCCGCAGGTGCTCCTCGTGCTGCTCCTGCGTCTTGGAATATACCAAGATATCATCTATGAATACTATCACTGGCCGATCCAGCATCGGCCTGCACACGCGGTTCATGAGGTCCATGAACGCGGCTGGGGCATTGGTGAGCCCAAATGGCATCACCACGAACTAATAATGGACCATACCGGGTCCTGAAAGC